CCGCGGTCACCCGCTCGACAGCACGCGAGGCGCACGTCTTCTTAAAGCCCCGCCCCGGCGGCGTTCACGACCGCCCCAAACCCTCCCTCTGGCCCAGACCTGACGCCTGACACTACTTAGCTGTCCCCCGCGCTTTCCCGAGACCAGACACCCAGGGCTGGCAGTCTCGGGGTGATTCCTCACCCTGCCCACCCCCCATACTCCCTTACTCAACAAAACCCTCTGCACGTCCTGGGCTCACGGCCTCACCCCTCCGCCACGAGGCGGACGCAAAACACGCACCCTGCTCGCCCAAACTGCGAACAGGAGTGCAGAGGAGGGTTACTGGGGGGAGAGCAGAGGCGCCCCAACAAGGGCAGGTGCCGCCTCCCCGCTTTCTCACCTGCTTCCACTCTGACCTCCACATGAATTTCTCAGCTCCAGAAACTGCGCGTGCGCCGGGCAGCTCCTCCTCTTCCCCGCCCACCACCCAACACCCGCTCCTTCTATTGGTGGAGGAGAGAGCTGTGTATTCTGGGAAGGGTGGCCGGTTTACCTGTCCTGGCTCCTAATCCCTTGGTCAGTGAACTACAACTCCCAAAACCACATGCGGCGTCCGGCTCTAGCTGAAAGGCCTTTTCTCATTGGTCGGAGACGCCGAGAAGGTTGCCTCAAGGCCTTTTGGGGGCTGTAGTTCTTTGGGGCTAAATGCACGTGCATTTACCCTGAGCCAAAGCAGCCGCTGTCAGACTGTGGGCCCTAAGCCCTTGTGAAGGTAGCGGCTCAAGCTAACGGCTAGTGGCAGGGATGCATAGGGGAAATTACGGATGATGGAAGACAGCGAGAGAAATGTATGGTGAAATAACTGGTGAACTGAGAGACCCCGAGGGAAGGCGAGGGGTGTTTTTCCTCCAAAGCCTTGTCTGGAAGTGCCCTTCCAGAGTAATGGGCCATAAGAGATAACCTTAGGAACCATCTGTACGAGATGGTGCAGCGGACTTAGGAGATCTGGAGACATAGCAGACAGACTTGGCTTTGTTTCTGGGCTCCCTGGATACAATTACATAGAAAAGTTGCTAGAATAGTGTGTCATTTACTCAGATTCACCAGTTGCTAACAGTTGCTCCATTTGCTTTGTCATTTGTCCCTCCCTCCTTTCTCCCCACCCTTTCTTTCTGTGTATTTTCTAAGACTAAGGACCCACTCCTGTATGACTAAATTTAATCTACCCCCTGTGTTCCAGTTTTGTTCATTGTCCCAGTAATGAACTTGATAGCACTCCCCACCTACTCCCAACCCCCACACCCATGCAGGATTCAGGCTAAGATTAGGCACCCCCGCGTTTATTTCTCTTTGTTTCTGTAGCCTCCTATAATCTGAAAATAGTTCTCAGCCTTTCTTGTCTCTTATTACATTAAAGCAGGAAATAGAATGTTTCTCTTTTGGGGTTTGTCTTATGTTTCCTCAGGGTTAGGCTCAGGCTTGCATTCTTAGCTAGAATAGTATCTAAGTGCTATCTGGCCACTTACTTTTGATGATATCTGACCCATTTCTGGATTCCAGTAGGATTAGATTTTTTTCTTTAGCTCCTTCCCCCTGAATTCTCATCTCTCCTCCTCTCCTGGCACAATCAAATGACCAGGTACATCCATGGCAGCCATCTACAATCCCAGTTTTTTCTTCTGATTACTGGAAGGGAGCTTTATGAAAGCTAAAAGTTTCAGTTTGCTGTCTTCAGTTTTCTTTTCTTAGAATATACAACAGTGGTTCACAGCAGACACTCAATAAATATTTGTTGAATAAGTGAAAATAAAGGGTGCTGAAGCGGCTGGCTAGGGCAGTCTGAGCCAGGCACATGGGACAGCTGCTTCAGAACCCTGCAAGAATAGCTGTAGTGCTGTCTGCTTCTAGTCTATAATTTCACTAGCAGGAGTGCTGGAAATGTTAAAGTAAATATTGGTCTATGGTTTTATAATTTTCAAGTTCGGGTAGACAGCCCCACTTTGAGTATCATTACAACCCACTATCTCTGTTTAGAGAGAAGGAAGTTGAGGTTCAGAGGTGAAATGGTCACTTACCAAGTGACCGCAGAGCTGGACTGGACTAGGACACAGGGCTTCTTGGTCTCAGCCCCGAATTATTTCCACTTCTCTACATTGTGTCCTGGGAAGCATATGTGACATGAAATGAAAGAGCTCAGAGGGAACACTGAGGAAGGTGTTTGGGAATCATTCATGGGGATGAGGCAAAAATTAGGAACAGAACAGCCGTGGTGCCTCAGCTTTAGGGTGGGGCCCCACTTATTACATAGATCATTTCCCCTTCATTCCCTCTTCCTACCAAGTGTGCAGGTTAAGGATAAGAACAATTGTATCTTGGACATTGACAGCTTCATTGATAGCAATCTTATTTAACTCTTTTCATATCACCATTTGGAAGTGAAGAAATGGCTATTCTGAGAAGCCAAGTAACTTACAAAGAGCGTTGCAGCTGATAGGTGGTAGAATATGTCTGATTCCATAGTCTGAACCTTTCCAAGCTGTGGTAACTGGGTTGACTCTACTTCCTAGATCAGTGCCAACATGGGGGAGGGGTAATATTCAAGAGAATATTTAGATAAGAATATCTCTTTTTCCTCATTCATTGAGTATGCATGTATTAGAAGTCCATTGTGGTAGACATGGGGGGTTCAGTGACAAAGAGGGTGGAGAAGACCCTGTCCTAGTGGCATTTACATTCTACGGTGTGGAGGTGACAAGCATACAAAAAAAAAATAAATGATATGAGATAGTGACTAGTTTCTTGAAGAGAGCAGACATAAAGATATGTGAATCAGTGAAGAAGGTTTTGATGGCAACTAATAGGAAAGTGAGCTAACCTGAATTAATAAGAAAATACAGCCCAGGCATGCCTCAGAGAGATTATGGGCTCAATTCCAGACCATTGCAGTAAAGAAAATATTGCATGAAGCAAGTCATGAGACCTTGGCTTCCCAGTGTATATAAAAGTTGTTTATACTACATAAACAACTAAAGGTGCAGTAGCATGTGTCTTAAAAAAAACAAGCAATGTAATAATTAATAACTACTTCACTGCTAAAAAATGAAAGACAAATTGACCACCTGCTGTTGGAAAAATGGCACCCACAGACTTGCTTGATGCAGTGCTGTCACAGGCCTTCAATTTGTAAAAAGCCAGGTATCTGCAAAATGCAACAAAGTGAAGCCACAATGAAATGGTGCCCATCTTTGTAGCACATAACTAGTCCCAGGGTGGGCAGTTCTGGGACTGGTGAATGTAGGGGTTCCTCTACTAAATCCATCCATGATGTCATCTTCCCCTGAGGGTCACAAGACGACTTCAAGGGCCAAGCTTCATGTTTCTATACAACAATAACTGCAGACCACTAGGCAGGAAAAGAGCATGTCACATTTTGGGTCCTTTTTGTAAGAATAAAGGAAAGTTTCTTAGAAGTACCCACCATACATACCCTTATATATTATTGGGCAGAACTGTATCACCTACCCATTTCTAAACTGGTGCATGGAATGACCTTGAATAGTCAACCTCTGAGATTGGAGAAGAAAAGCCTGGCTTCTCTTAAAGTACATGGTCACTTGCCACCTTAACAAACCCAAAATGGGGTTCTTTCTAGCAATGAACAAGATAGAAAGGAAAATGAAGTTGGAATTGCAACCAATAGTGTCTGCCACCAGGGGTCTATTTGGGACCAGCTGGTCAAGGAGACCTGTATGAGATGACACGAAGGTAAGAGCTTAAGAAGTGAGAGCAGGGAGAGGCTGGGTGGGAAGAGAGGATAGTCTTCAGGCATCAGGAAGAGCGAATGCAAAGAAAAAAACAAAGCACAGTAGATAGACCTGGATGGTCAAGAACAGGGAGTTCTTTCATGATTTGGACTGGTACGTACATAGTCATCAAAAAGAAGAGTAGCCTAGGGTACCCAGCTGCACTGTGGAGTGAGAACTTATGCCTGCTGCTGCAGCAATAGTAGAGTCTGCAGCTGTACCCTTAGGGGAGTGAGACAAAGCCTTGGACCTCACTTGCAGGCCAGGAGAAACTGTCTTCTGACGTCATTCCTGGGCGAGTGGGAAGCGAGTGGGAAGCAAGTGGGAAATGGCCTTGGAGCAGCCCCTCACAAAGGCCT